AGGGCAAACAGTTGGTGCCCTGAGGGATCTTTGCCTGGTTCACAGTAGGGGTTTAATAGATACTTTCCGAACATTGTACAGTTTCTCCCATCTGTTCAGTTGCTGAGAGCCTGATCCATGCAAGCTTGGGGAGATGTTTAGACCAGGGCCATGGCCTAGTGGAGGTGGGACCTGAGAATCAAGGTGGGATGTGAGGAGTGTTGTCATGGGGTTTCATGGGGGAGAACTCCCTTCTGGTGCATGGAGGAGCTGGCATCTGGTTTTGACCATGATGGGTGCCTAGGGTGCAGTATAAAGGAAGGCACAGAGAACCACTCTGTGGGGAGTAGTGGTGAATGCATAAGCCCAGCGAGTGCACTGTACTTGCAAATGGGCAGCAGGAAGGGATATAGCTAAGTGGTCAGGAAAGGTGGGCAGGCACTGAATGGCAGGCCAAGGAGCCATCTCCCAGTGTATGGCAGGGGCATATGCAGGGCTGGGGAGGCTCACAAGAGGTCTGACCTGGGGAAGGATGTCCATGCCTGGACCTGGGGCCACTTTGACCAGGGTGGCCACTGAGGAGTAGGAACCCATGGCATGGGGACACACAGACATACACAACAGTCTCCATGAGCGTAGCCTTGCTACCTGGCCAGGGCCGCCTGCAACTCTTCCTCCTTCTTGGCCAGCTGCATTTTGAGCTCTGCGATCTGTGCCTGGAGCTCGGCGATCTGCTCGTGTAAGTCACTGGCCTCGCCGTCCAGCTTTCGCTTCAGCTTCTCCAGCTCCTGCCGGCTCTTCTCCTCCTTCTTTAGACGCACTGTGAAAAGCCAGGGCTCATCAGGGGTGGAAGACACCAGAAAGACACCTTGAGGGTGTGCCTTTCTGCACGCCCCTCTCCCACACGCACAGTTGGTCAGCACCACTGCCCAGACCATCAGCCTGTGGAAGGAAAGTTAGTCCCCCTGAGAAGCTTCTTTTGTTATCTTTGTGTGTGTGTCTCTGTATGTGGTAAAAAATATAAATTACCATTTCAACATTTTTTACCTGTACAATTCAGACACATTAATTAGATCCATCATCATTATCCATTTCCAAATTTTTCTATCACCTTAACAGAAACTCAGTGCTCCTTAAGCAGTGACTCCCTCTTTCCCCCTATCTCCAGCCCCTGTTGTTGTTGTTATGTGCCATCAAGTCAGACCCGACCCATAGTGACCCCTCCTTGGGTTTCCGAGGCAGTATCACTATGGAAGTAGATTGTCCAACCTTCCTTCCGAGGAGTGGCTGGTGGGTGTGAACCGCTAGCCTTCTGGTTAGCAGTCAAGTGCCTTAGACACTATGCTA